ACATAAAGAACTTAGATTATACGCGACGAAAAGAGATAACGCTTAAAGCTCCGAGTCTATCTATACCTTCTACTATAAAGATAAATTACCCTCTTTTAGATAGCTAGATATATATACTATTTTCGAACCCTCCCTATCTCGACTATAAGAGACCCTCGACCCCCGACCCTTAGCTACGAGGACGTAGCTCTTTAAGGAGGGGGAAAATATTATAACCCTCTACTAGGAGAGTGCCTTATAGGCTAGATCCCGTCTAGCCCTATAACCTAGAACCCGTAACCTAGTAGGGGTAGTATAACCCCCCGCTAGAGACCGTACTAGGGAGACTAAGTCCTACCGGGTTAGGTGACCTAGTCCTATGACCCGCTAAAGGTTATCTATATAGAGACTACTAGGGGAACTTAGCTCTTTAGCGATTAGTTTATAAATATACTAGCACCCTACTATTCCTTTACTCTAGTTCTATATTACCTACTAGGACCCGCTAGCACGCCGGTCCTAATAGGGAGTCTCGTAAGATAGACGATATATATACTACTCTATAATAGATATATAGGTATCCCGAGATATATTAACCGACGGTATTAAGACGGGCCGATAATTAGTAGGAACCGTATAAAGGGGCTAAATTAGAAGTTATAGAAGATAATAAAAATAAAAAGAAAGGATTATAAAATATAGATACTTATAGTAGTAGTAATATCTAAGACCGGGTTATAGGTGGCTAGTTAATATATCTTAGATATAGGGGAGGGTATAGACTACGTAGTCGGCGGTATCCGAAGTATATAGGTAGTCTTAGGGAGAGGCTAAACCGGTAGACTCTAGTTAATAAGTTCTTTAAATTTATTATAAGACCGCTTACTAAGGTAGGTAGATAACGTTATAGAAGAATATATAATCCGGTATATAGTAGAGAGATATATATAGAGTATATAGGAATATAGGAATATAAAAAGGAGTCGGAAGGTAAGCGGGGAATATAGGCGATATATTAAGGGAAATTTAGATCTAGCCTAATAAACTAATAAATACTAACTAAATATAGAGAAATATATAAGCCGTATATAATTACGATCGTATTTATAACTAATTAGAGTAGGTAGGAAAAAAACGAAGGTAGGCGGAGCGGGAAAAATATTAACTCTATACGGGATATAATTATATTCTACTAATATATAGTAGATATATTATATATACGAATATACCCCTTATTATATATCTATACGCCGACGATTATATAATATACTAATATACTAGGTCCCTTAACTCCTAATCTAATAATATCTCTAAGGCCGGGAGATAGATAGACGGAATATATATTTATATATTATAGATATAATATAGTACTTAAAGATAGTATATAGCGTTTCGATAAAGTCGCGTATATCGGACCTAGTCGTTATATAGGATATAAGTATAGTAGATAGAATAGCTTTATAGTATATATTTATAATCTATATAGAAATATAATATATCTATATAACTAAAAACGATAGATAGTAGACGAAGCGCGGGTATATATCGCGTACTATCGCGAAATAGTTAAAAAAGAGGTATTCTACCGACTTAGTAAAGATATAAAGGATCTTTACTACGAACGACTTAATTAGTAGTAAGTATAGAGGGAATAGGAGAGTAGGAGAGGGATAGATAGAGAGAGATAAAAAATAGGAATATATATATATAGAGAAATATATATATTTAGTCTAAATATATAACACTATATTAGATATACGATTTTATCTAATATATAAACTAAGATATATACTAAGATAAAAAGATTACTACGATAGAGGATATATAGAAGGACGTAATACGTGAATAGATAGAAGAATATAGGCAGCGGAAGGAGTATTTATTATTAATTATAATTATAGAGATAGTGTAGTATACGCGATACGAACGCGAGGGTAGCGATATAAGCGCGAAACGTACGCGAATTTTAAGGTTAGGGGATATAGTGCGGAGTAGAAGGCAAGACATAAAGAATAAATAGATAAGAGTATTTATAGAAAGAGGCGTATCATAAAGCATAGCTAATAGAGGATAAATATAAGATAAGAATAATATGAATATGAAGATAATCTTTTGATAGGGTGCGGAAGTGGGAGACTCGACCACCGTACCGCAGCGGGCAGAAAGTATGGACCAATAAGAGGATGAGAGAGCGGACGAAGGCGGTCTGGAGACTATAAAGTCTAGCAAAGTAGCAAGACCACGATTCATTCAGTAGAGATATTTACGCCGACCTAGCCAACAAATATTTGTTACAACCAATTTTGATCGTTAGTTCAAATTGTATAAGGTAAAAATAGATAGCATAACAAAATTAGAGAAGCCTCTAAGCTCCTTTAGCTTTTCGTATCAAATAAAAAAAAGAAGCAGCGGATGGAGTGCTAGTAGGAATCTGTTGGGAGTAGACCTAAAAAATCCAAAAAGATAATGCACTAAGAGGGAATCGAACCCCCGGCACAACATCTCTTAGCGGAAATCCGCTATGGAAGTGTTATATGTTACCACTACACCATTAGTGCTGGCATTATGTCTAGATAGGGTTTTATTGATCTATATCCTACCGCAATTATTTGTTCAAGAACCTTCTAGTTAGAACATTGGTGTGTTACGCTGTTGCCTGCCCAATGATTGAACACACCTACCTGGGTATTTTATTCAAACGAAAGGAAACTGATAGGAGTGCCACAGATTCGATTATTCACAGACCGGAAATAATAAATGGTAGTCATTTCTTCCGGGAGAAAAGATCCCACTGGGACTATGAAAGTCACCCAACTCGAAAGAACAAAGTCTAGAATAGCCGATAATGTCAAACCCGATTTTCAATTTCTATAATTAGGTGCGAACCAGCAAGAGTTCTATTATTGATGGCGAAATTGACGTTTCTGCAGAGTCCCCAAGGTTTCACCTTTGAATTATTGAAGCTTGATGTACGGAGTATACACAATTGATGCATGTTCTCCACATTAGGCTCAACATACATGCAGATATGAGTATTTGCAGATGATACATTATCAAAATGTCTCCCTTACATAATGCCAGCACTAATGGTGTAGTGGTAACATATAACACTTCCATAGCGGATTTCCGCTAAGAGATGTTGTGCCGGGGGTTCGATTCCCTCTTAGTGCATTATCTTTTTGGATTTTTATTTTGATTCCTGGATAGGTGGATCATCTCGGACCATTCGTTCAGTTTGGTTTCTTGCGGGAATTAGTATTCCAGACTTCTTTCATGAACGCCTCCAATGCGACAGCGGTTTGTTTACCTGAGGATTTGATCTTGGTGGCGTTGAGAACGATACGACGTGGGCTGGAGAATAGTGGAGCTTCTCGGTAGACAAGGACAATAGCCATGCTGGCTTCGGTATTCAGAAGTGTTGAGCGTCGAGCAGCGCAAAATGAGTGTTTCTGTTCAGCATCCCGAGGTGGTGATTGTACTTAGAGCATTCAGGGTGAATTTAGTACTCAGTCGGCAAGGAGTACCTTGAAAGACAATCCCAGATTTAGTCAGATATAATCCATGGACCTCGGACTTCTACATCTCGGTGGATCAATTCCCCATAGAATGATCATCTCTCAACCTCTGGGCGGCGGAATGATCTATACGGTTGTAGTACCTCTCTCCAAGGCGTCAAGATGTCGTATCGTAAGTATTGCATTGAGGCCTATATGGACTAGATACTTTAAGTTAACATTCTCACCATGGTTATTTGAAGGTTCTTTTCCGAGTAAACTCAATGAGTTCATTGGGATTAGCGCTATATAAGTAGAGAGAAAACGGAGCTGGTAGCTGGGTTGGCTCTAACTAAATTTGCTTCTGGATTCTCTTTTCAATTTATCAACCTTAACAATGCTGTCTGCAACTCTGACCTTGTTGCAATTAGTAGCATCTGTTCTCTCCTGCCAACTACTACAGGCTGGCTCAGAGGGATGTGTAGTCCTAGCATATCAACAGTCCTCAGCCCGCAATTATCAAGTAGTCGCTCACATCTACCTCCCAGGCTCTAATCAATTTACCAAGGCCACGACACGATGGTCAGCCTTCAAAGCATCCCATTTCACCGTCGTTGCGGAGACTGCAACTGAGAGCGATGTGGAAAAGACAGTTATTCATATCCAAAACACACACTTTATAGCAGCACTAATAGCCCTAGCTCAATTATGCCAACAAGTACAACATCTGATTCATTCCTGTCAACGGTGGCCATGGGGGTGATCAGCCCACTCGGCACTCTTCAACATGGCATACAGATTTGACTCAATCAACTGAAGTCTGTGTCCATTGCAGATGACGGAAAAACTGCTACCATTGGAGGTAGAGCCTTGGCAAAGCACATCATAGACTCTCTTTGGAAGAAAGGCAATCAACACACAATTTGTGAAGAATGGATCTCAACCGGTGGATCTAAATCTTTATTCTCGGGTTCTCTATGCGCCGGCCATAGATCCAGACCATGTATGTATAGGCTTCTCGGACCATCAATATTGCTAACTTGCCTAGGCCTTTGTCTTATTCTTCATACTCCGGCAGGGGACGGCATCGGTTGAATACCCAGATGCATCTTCATTCTTGAAGTTAGGCCCATTGATGACGGATAGTGCCGAAGAAGTTTTCAAGGACATCATCAAGTGGATTGGAATGACGACCAATTATCCTGCATGCCAGAAAGCCGGGCTCTCGCACATTCGCTTCCCAGTAGATCTACAGAGTTGGTGTGAGCATGAACCTTGGCGAGTGCAGAAGCTGCGAGCGTTGAAAGCGAAGTATGATCCAAACCATCGATTTGGGCTCTATGCACCCTTTGTTTGATTGATATCTTGAGATCGAGTACTCGCAGAGGCGTGAGATGTGTCGTGTGGAGTGCGGTCCTTAGCCTTTGGAGATAGTTGCATCAATCCATCCTTGCCATTCCGATTGCGAATCATATATTCCGTTGAAGGGTCTAGAGTCGAAAAGATTTATCCATCGCTAGAAGGACTTTATGCATGTTCCTTCATGACAAACTCAGCGCACCTCTCCCCGATCATGTAAACTGACGCTGATATCGACGCGCCTCCCTGCCGAGGAAATACACTCGCATCCGCAACTCGCAAATTGCACACTCCATGTACCTTCAGGGTCTGGCCTACCACCCCTACCTCCCTTGTGAGACTCATCCGGCATGTACCGGTAGGGTCATAACTCCCCGTCACCAGTCTCTTGATATACTCGTCGATCTCCTCGTCGGTCACAGTTCTCCACGCATCCTTTTGCGGTGGAATAGCCCTCTTCAACCTTTTCCTCTCTTTCTTGCCTCGGTCTTTGTCCAACACAGAATCTAGATACTCCAAATCCATTCCAGGAGCCATCGCTAATGATGCTAGGTGAGGATACCCGGTCTCCGGGCTCGCAAACTCATCGGCCAACCGCATCGCAAACCGTACCACCTTGCGCAATCGAGTACGGTCCCGAGCGTCATCTAGCAGAGGAAGCGTAATGTTTAGTTGACTTTCCTGGTCGGGGCTAGCGGTGAGCTGGACGCTGCCGGTGGAGTGAGGCTGCACAAGGGCCGCGTACCACGTCATGCATGGTACACCAGGGATACCGTGCTGTATGAGCGTGCTAAGCGGAGATATCAGAATCTCGAGGTCAGGGACTTCTTTTTCATCCTCTTTGGGAGAGTGAATCTCCATCGTTGTCTCATCAATAGTCGTAGAGTGCAAAAATGCCGCGCCGTACTGGCCGTTAGAAGCGAGTACACCAGTCCCAGAGAGGAACCACAGCAAGAGATGCCAAAGAATAGCCACTGTCTCAATAATATGTAGGGTGTGCTTTTGAGGGAGCTCTGTCATGACTGGCACAAGAAGATGGGTGGCCAAATGGGCACCTACGGCGGGAAGGTCATGGATCATAGGAATATTGCGAGCAGACAAATGGTCTTTGGGTCCGATGCCACTGCAAAAATGTTAGCACCACATCGTTATATCACCCGAATGAAACCAACCTGAGCATCAACAGCTGTGGCGTGCCGAAAACGCCGCTGCAGATAATCACCTCCCGTTGAGCCTTTACCGAAACATCTGCGCCCCCTTTGACTGACTTAATCCATACGCCAGTCGCCCTCGTTCTGTCTTCTGTAAACTCGAGCTTAGTCGCTGAGACGCCTGTGCATATCGTCAGTCGCTCTTTCCTCTCCCTCGCAACCGAGGCATCCAGCCACGCTGTCAGCGCAGAGCTCCTCTCCCCATGCGCATCAACCGAAACCTCGCTACGGACATATCTCTGTGTCCCTCTCTTCCCAGCTCTCAGCCCTACTCTCTCCATAACCGCATCCACATACGGCATTAGCCCCACATCTCCCGCCTCCTTGCGAGGGATACGTTCCTCAACGCGCCCAAACGCCGGTGCCACCTTCTCCCTATAATGAGGTAGTGTTCCAGTTCGTAGGCGTTGACGCGATCTTCTCCCACACTGTAAGATCAGTTTCTGGTGCGGTCGCCCGCAGAAAGTCAGGCCGTCCTTCTGTTATCTCCAGGGAGTGAGGGAGCGGGTGAATATTTGCAGTTCCTGTTGTTCAAGCTGATCTTCACCCGCCCGTTCCTGTCGTTCTTGTCGTTCCTATCGGGACAGTGTGCCGCGGCTCGTCTGCCACAGTCACGCTGGAGGCACCGGAGGCTCCCATCTCCACCACGGATCGAGGGAGATCATCCAGCCCCGGTGGCCAGATATCTGCCATTCACCCGTTAGCACCCACCATCCATATGTCCTTTTGGGGAGGAGCCCTATGGAGATCAACTTACAATCCAGCGTTGTCGCATTAGCCACCGGCCTCTCCTCCAGTTCGAGGATGCGTGGCGCCTCCTCCACCGACAACCACTCACAATACTTCCGCACCCACTGCCCAATCGACAACAACACACGAGGACGCGGACTAGCCAGGACAAGATCCACCTGGTCTGGCTGCTCGTCCTCGACCGGATCCCAGTCTATGTTCTCGTCTTCGCACGGAACCGTAGCCATATAGCATGTAGGAAACGCGGCAATGCCGTACGTCACACGATCAAGATCGGAGATGTCGAGAACAACCAAGCCATACTCGAGACAGTCTGCTCGGAAGACTGTCGATAGAGGCTGGAACTGGATGTCGCCGGGGCGGGTGCTCTCGCGAGAGGCATCGTCCCGCTGCAACGCGTGTAGAACGCAGGTGGCGGTGAATGGGAACTGGCGAATTCCGTCCTCCCGCCAGGGGAGCGGGGGCTGCTGTTTCACTGGCCCCGTGGAGTCGACCATGGGCATGTAGGGGGGCTGCTCGGTGTCCGGCACGCTGGGCCGTTCATGTGTGGGAAGCTCGTCCCCTGACGACTGACGATACCAGTCGTTTGCGAGCCCCGTCTCGGCTTCTAGTTGTGCGCGGTTTGCGGGGTCAGAGAGGTTGTCGATCAGTGCGAGGGTATCAGCTACCATATGGCGCACTCGTGGGTATGACGTATGGGTGTTGTATTCGTCGTGGTGTTGGCGGTAGGCCACGGCCAGGGGGCGGGTGGTCCCGTCGGGGCCGACATTCGCAACAATAGCGAAGAGGAAAGACCGGGGGGTTCTGGTGTAGATGGTGGTGTATTCTGAGTACATTGTGGTCGCTCAGCTGGAAGATGTGAAAGGGGGTGTTGTTGTTCCAGGTTCAGGGTGGGAAGAAAGAGCTAAAGAGGGGCAGGGCTGGGCGGATCATGTGACGGCTAAGGAACTAGTCGGCTGCTAGTATGTGGCCAGGTAACCGTGGGGGCTGGTGGCTAATGTAGGTGGGAATGTTGACTTAGTGTTATGGTCACCTGTAATTGTCCTATGGAGAATGTGTTAGCTAAATATTTGCGAAAGCCGAATACTGGTGGCCCTTTCCAACTGCAAGCCATGGAAAATGCCAGAATGGGGGTCGTAGAACCTGGCTCGATTTAAAGCAATTCAGCCACTGGACCAATAACACTGGGTAAGACTGTCTGTCTCCCAGGTCAGTGCAGCTTTTTCCAGACCCATGTACGCTTTGCAGATCAATTATTCTCCCCTGGTTGCACAAAGTAAAGTGCATTCGGATGGACTGTACACGATTACCACCTGTAGCAAATGTCTGGATTGAAGTGCTAATATACACCAAGTCGACCCATGATATAACAGAACAGAGCGACACCTCCCTCCGTACATAGTTTTACACCCGTTACCAACGCTCTCTCCAGAGCCAGCCATAGAATCTCAAGTCGATGAGGCTCAGGATGGAGGTTGATCACAGTAACCGGTCGAGAAACGTATGGGCCAAGCTCTCATCAATAACGCGGATGATAATGATACAGCGTTCTTCCATCTCTACCTTCCCCCTAACCGCCGGGTCCATTAACAAGTGTGTCTGCACGACCGCCTGCTCCAAAAACTCATCCTGCACGTCTGGTTCCGCCTCCCGAGGGTACCGCTCCACGATCTGTCGAAGCCAGGTCTTCACGCCCAGGCCACTAAGCGACTTGGGTTTGGGTTGGGTCATCTTCGTATAAGCTTTCGCCACGTCCTTCTTCACCTGTACGTCTATCGCGCAGCAACCAAGAGCGTTTGGATCAGTTGGACAATAAGAAAAACCGCCGCATTCGAGGTGCTTTTGATAGGCTACTGACGATTCCTGGGCTTTGGCCGGGGGGATGAGAATCAGTGTACTTCACAGACTGATAGCTTCCGGATGCATTGAAGTGAGTTCTAGAAACCTGGCTTCCTTCTACCTCGCTAATCGAACGCTTCATTCGTTATAGGAGACTATAACTTATCTGCACCATATCTGGGACTTCTGGTCCTCCCTGGTCGCTTCGGACCACGCCTCACTGAAGAAGATTGACCAGAATACCGTGAATTCCCTGCAGCTGCTGGCGCCCGGTAAATCACGCACTGATGGGAGAACTGCCTGTGGAATGGTCCTAAGCGGCCAAGCTTTTGCCGAGTTTAGCGACGAAGAGCGACGGATCATATGGTCCCGAATGCAGAATTTTGATGGTCTGATCCCGTCTTTGTATACCTTTTTCGAAGACTTCAAGTACCTGGAGGCCTGTGCCCACTGTGTCAAGCGGCTCTGTGGCCCGATCGATATGTCGATCTGGAGAACCATGAGTTCAATATTCATTCCACCCTCAGAAGAGGGAACCGCGACTTCAGGGGCAGTGGATTCGCTCATCCAGACATCAGAGTCTAATTTCCGACGCCAACAGGCAACTGATATGGAACGCCTCGAGACAGGATATCTACAAATATGGCTTTACGCGATGAGGCACTATACCTTGATGCCCCCGGACCCAAAGAGCGATGACGAGTTGTTGGCAAAATCAACTCGCCCCAAGCCCGATGAGAGGGCGATTTACGAGATGGCTGAACTCGCTCACCAACTTCGCTTTCAGTCCACTGAAATCGATGCACTGATCAAGAGTTCACCCGATCATCAGATCGCACGATCAGCTCTCCTACAGGCCCGAAAGCCCAACCGGTATCGATACGATAGCCAGGATTTTGATCTTTTGGTCAATCAGATTGTGAGCTGTTTCGCCAAGGCTGTTTCCGACCGACCGGAGCAACCCCAGGGTCTTCTGGCGGATAGCGCAATGAAGCTAAAGACCCGTGCTGGGGAACCCCAAACACGGACTCACAAGCAAGATGGACACTTGCTTTTCTTGGACCGTTTGCACGCTGATGTTGAGGTTGCCGACAATGTCACCAGCTTTTTCGTCCGCCGTTGTGTATATTTTGCATTTTTCGGAAAGTCTGCCCGGGTTGCGACTAGCAATGTCAGCCAAGCTGAGGACACTGATCCAGATCAAGAGATGGAGGAGATGCCTCCTTCGCCAATGTTCGTCGAAGAGGACGACTCCCCTGTTACTCATACGCCCGCACCAGACCCCCATCCACCTCACGAGCCCCAGGGGGAGCCACAGCAGCAGAAAGCTGAAGTGATTATGGGGCGAGGAGGCAGTGAAAGCCAGCAGCCATTGCGGACGGACCAAAAAGAAATCGTGAGGCGTCAACGAAGGCGAAATTTTCAAATACGCCGAGCTGTCTCGCGCCCGGCGGGAGATATGGACCAAGAGCCAATGGAGTTAGAACTGCCAGACGTAAATCATGACCAGGTTATTTTAAACCGGAGCAGTTCGCCTGAAGAAAATTCTATGTCAGTTGGGCCTCAGAGCCAGCCGGAGCCGGTCGAACCAGCGACGGCTATCACGCTTTTCTCCCCTGCCTCTGCTGTGCCAGATGTTGAAGATAGTAGGAGTGACTGCACACGAGTCTCCCCGGACGTAGTCCCGCTTGTGGAGGACCAGGAAGAGCAAACAATGGTCGAAGAGGCCAGTAAAGACGATGCTCCTGACGAGCAGACACGGGTCGACGGTGAAGTTCGGCGAGTTTCTCCAGAATCAGAGGCAAACAATTCCTCAGTATACAGCCAATCGCCACCGGAAAATCTAGATGAATTTCTTGCTGGTTTAAGAAGAGCTCAGGAAGAACAGGAACAATTAGAAGAGAGGTTGGAAAATGAGCGGCTTCATCAGGAGCTCGGCGAACTAGAGCAACCACGGAACGGGAAGCCTTCTCCACAAGAAGACAGACAGGATTCATCGCCACTGCGCCTTGAGTACCGATCCGAGGAACCCGCGCACGGGCATGTCGTGGATGCCGTATTTGCTCCAGACGCCATCACCCACGAAGCGTTGGTAGAACCTCTCCACCCAGGAACGCCAGGATCTGCGATAGATCCCCACCCCACTCCTCCAGTTGCCGAAGATATCCCTGCCCCAGATTCCTCCACCGCCGATCTTATACCCTCAAGGGCGGTCGAGCAACGGCCCCCTCAGAAGCACATTGAGATCGAGGTCTGGTCCCTTGAACGAGGAGACTGGAGACGGTCAGACCGGCTCCGCGTCGATCCGTCAGATCCATCGCCGCTGGAACGAGTCGCGCAAAAGTATTTATGGAAGAATTATTCCCTATACGACAAGAATATGCATAACCTGAGGCCAGCCCAATGTTACCGTGCAGCGATAGCTGATGACAGTAACGCCTTCTTCATAGTTTCCGAGTATGAGGAGAAGAAGCTTGCGGCAGAGGGCCGAGTTGTAAAGGAGAAGAAACTCCTAGGGATGGCATCTCGAGTATTAGATCGGGTAGAGGTTATAAGGTATCCTAAGTTAGCATGAGATACTCCTTTCAGATCCTTAATAGACCTATGTGGCTTGAAATAAGAGCGTACTGCAGACAAGATATATGAAACCCCGAGAGGAATCTAATAGGTGTGGTACTGAGATAAAAGACTGCTTTTGTGTTTATGATAGAGCTATATAGAGTATCCTGTAAATGGTAACATCAAAGGACGTTGATAACAGATTGTTTTAGCTAGCTCATTTCAGGAGTCAGGATCACTTGGAAGGCAGAGATTAAGAAACTCCTTTCGAGAGGGCTCAGCATATAGGAAAATCCTCTTGAGAGGGAATCAAACACAGTAGGGCCTGCTGAAGAGCACAAGCGACACAGAAGGCCACACGTCATATGGACTGGCTCTTCGTGCTCCTTCTCTTCTAGTCCAATCATTCTAGGCCCAGACCAATCCTGAGATGGTCTAGAGGTGACCATACGGGTTGCGACCGCCGGTTTAGCCGGACGCTGTTCAGTGAGGACTGATTTCATTGGATCATCAGCCTACTGTAGCAGCGGGTCTCTGCAGTGGCTTTTATTGGATGTCAGTATAGCAGCGCTCTGGGGACGCTAGACAGTACCTTATCAGATATAATCCGTCCTAAATTAGGGAATTATCTTCGGCAATCTCGTCAATAAAAATACAGAACTTGGAGCAGCCTCAGTAATGCGACCACGTTCTGAGTGACACGTGGTAGCTTGGTTATTCGACATATGCATATCGAGAACACGTCGCAGACTACCCTACACTTGCGTGCATAAACCGCATCACCGTTCCTTCCCCTCATCATGATACCTAGTTTGTTGGCTTAGGAAATAAATACGGAAATATAAAAGCCCTATCTTCTCTGACACAAATTGGAGGCCAGTCGGTTTTTCGGTCCTTCCAGACGCCCTCAAGCCAGTGTATCAAAGCCATATTTCGTTATGTCATCGATCGATTCATCATCCTTGGAATCAGGCAAGCATGATTCCTTGCCTTTGGTCAATAGTGGCAGCCTAGAAAATTTCATCAAATATATGGGTATACTGGCGTCAAGCTCTAAATCTCAGTTTGCATCCGCCGTGCTTGGCGAGATCAGCCAACAGCGTGAGCAGAATCACTTGCAAGATGAAGAGCTAAAAAGCTTCGAAGCGAGATTCTCGATATCAAGGAAACAAAAAGAACTACGATTGAAGATATGTTTGTTGCCAACGAGAACGAAAAGGCAAAGCAGAGAGACTTCTCGACGCAAATCGAATCTCTTCGCGCTACTGTCGACGAAAAGGAAAGTAAAATTTCCGAGTTTTCTAAGAATCTCAGGACCTTGCAACAGAAAATAACAAAGTTAGAATCGGATCTCTCGCAGGGGGTCGCTAAAGTGTCGGAGTATGAGATCGGCATACCGGAAGTTTAGTTTATCCTGTCCACGTAGTATTTTTGATATTAGTCAGAAAGTCATATTTCCTACTAGAATAGTGGATACAGAAATACAGAGATTTTAACTCCCTTAATTGGACCCCTACTGTACTGAATACCACGTCAGTTGACATAAAGTCTCACAATCCGCCAATGATATTAGTACATTGCAAGCCAATTTAAAAGAGAAAGACAAGATAGTAGACCAAATGAAGGCAGCTAGATCGAAACTAAAATCAATATTATCATCGGAGCAGGAGAAGAACAAAGAGCTAGCGGCTGCTAATGCCTCAATGAACACAGAGCTGCAGGCAGTGAAGGCTAATATGCAGAGGCTGGAAGGATTTCCTATCCAATCTTCGGACATTGATGAAAATTTCGTGTAAGTCGCGCGAAAAAGATACAACTATTTGTGAATTAACTTTTCTTGTGCCATTAACAGAGTCACGGAATTCAGAAGCCTTTGGACCTCTGCTACGAGCGAGTTATCTCCATTGCTAGACCTAGATGTTCCAAAAGATACTTTAAAGGTTCGTCCTAGGGCACCTTTCCTCACGCTCGTCACTGATAGGACCAAAAGGAGAAGCCTATCTGGGAGAAACTTAGGAAGACAGACAACATACTCCTACCACCAAGCTTTCCTCTTATTCCTTCAAACTCCTCGGCTGCTAAAGCGGTACGATTTGCATTGATCCTGGCTGTTCTGTTCAGAGAGATCGACCGACGTATATTCAAACCGAGCTATCTTCTTTCAGAGAGCAACAGTCTTCGTGAGGCTCTCGGTCATCTCGCAGAGAATGATGGCGAGAAAGAAGCTTTTTGCCGTCGCATACTTCTCTCCATTGACCCGCGCGCGGAACACGTGCCTCAAAAAGCAGAGATTCGAGCCGTGGTCCAGAGAATGTCTTCGTATACGGATGGCCTATTTCCTGAAGCGCGGCACGATTTGTTTTGTACAAAAATCAAATCAATAGTTCAGAACGCGGCCGAATTTTGGCTTCCAATTCAGCGATCGCAACAGAAGTTCGAGACAGATTTCGAAGAACCTTTTGATCCCGACGACAATGAATGGGATCGCTTTGCTTTCGCTGGTGAAAACACAACACCGGTGGCACAAGACCATGGCCCTTATCTTCTCAATGTCTTTCCGTGTATCTCCTCGGTGGAAGACGGCGACCATAATCCATTGACCAAGATCATTCAACTCCGCAGTTCCCAGGAATTATACTTGGCAGCGCAGCATGAAGCCACTCAAATAACAACCTCTGCCACCACCAGACGGCATTCTGCCCGCCCCAGGAGACAATCAACTGCACGCTCAAGTGGGATGTCTTTTTTAGGTGGAAATTCAACCAACGGCTGACTGATAGGTTGTGGAGAAGGGTTTGGAAACGCTAACAGCCCTGGAGACTGAAAAGGAGTGTAATGGAGATTATAATGGCATCTGTGAATTATCAGTAATGATGCTCTATATGAACATGTTTGGGTCATACGGTATGTTTGTCTGTGTGTGATTCATTACGCTGTCCTCTCGTCGAAACGATATGCAGCCTACTTAGATATCTTCCTCATAGCCACGCAAGATACTAGACTATAGATACCTTAGATGGGTCGTCCTCAACGTCAATCTCGCAAAACCATGGATCTGATAAGATTTTCGTAGGCGAAGGTCTCTTCCCGGGGTCATATTGCAAAATCCATCGAATAAGCGCTTTCACTTTCTTAGCTTCCTCCTCATCGAGATCCGGGCCTGCCCGATCGAAGCACTCTTCCATGGACGTCTGCTCCACTATAAGCGGTTCCTCCCCGGGAGCGACTCCTCCAAGCTGACAATTAAAGAGCTTCCTCTCGGGCGTAAAGTAGAGCGACGAGGTTGTCCAATGCCTGAATAACTCGTCGGGGAGGGCACCGAGCTGGGCGGTGAGGGAGAGAAGATGATCGTCATCTTCCATCTCGGAACATGGTATACAGAAGAGCGGCTGTCCGGTAATTAGCTCAAAAATAAGGCAACCGAAGCTCCAGATATCAACGGTATTGTTGACGGCTCCGGTAAGAATCAACTCGGGAGCTCGAAGACCGAGTGGAGTAACGGGCTTTGTTGGTGGGTCGGTAAAGAAATAAGCTGTCCAGGGAATTGAGGTGTGAGTATTAATATTCGTCAAGAAAAAGGAATAGTAGAGGGACTGACCACCGCCCATATCGGATAATTTGACCTTGAACCCTTCGGCGTAGCAAGTAAAGGGCACCAGTGGCTGCGCAACGCAAAGATATTGAGGCGCCCATTTATCTTGTTTACCATCCAGCCTCTGTACCGGAGGCGAGATCGACCGGGCTTGCACATCTTCCTCTTGTAGGAGCAATTCCTCAGGGGTCGAGTCGACATCGATAAGAGGGAAGAGTATGTTTCCCGGCTGGAAGTCTCCATGGGCAATACCGTTTTCATGCAGAAATGCAAGAGCCTGTAAGGATTGCTTAAGGATACTCTTTGCCATCTGAAGCGGATAGCGGATCTTCATTCCTCGCCTACGAGGTTTGAACTGCGGCAGCTCCTCGACCATCGTATTGACACTCGGGCCCATAGGCTCAAGTACCAGGCACTTGTGGAGGCCATTGGGTCCGCGGTGTTCGAATTCGTCCAGCAGTCGCGTGATATATCGGGGCCCTTCTTCTGGTGCGTATTCGATGATATGGCGTAATATTCGTAGCTCAGTTGTCGATTCCGAGATTTCCGACACAAGTATCTTCAGGGCGACATATCGACTGTTACTAAACGAAATGAGTAACGATGATATATAGCGTCGGCAGTAGAAATGCGAAAGATGGACTTACTTTAGGTCATGGGCGAGCCAAACCGTCGAGTAGGAGCCCTCGCCAAGCTTCCGGATGACCTTGTACTGGTGGTTGAAGACGTCGCCGAGAACGACTGGATGATAACCACCTGGCCGATAATCCTCCACCCACTCACAAGGTAATGTAATGGTTTTGAATCGCCGTTCATCATCTATTAAGGCCCTTGATGGCGGAGTGGGAGGAGACGAAGTGCTCATAACTGCGATGGAGATGCGTCGTTTAAAAGTTGCCAAGGGGAATGTTTTGTAAGGGATTAAGGATTGTGATACGGAAGTCCAAAGCTTGGGGAAAAACTGGATAGACGTTCTCAAAAAGCGTGGGACAAGGCTTCCGGGGCACATTTATGGTCCTATGACACGGGCAAGTCTTGGAGTTCGTTTCGGAGCACGCGTCATGGCGCGTACTATTTTTATTCATCGCGGTGCGATATGACTAAGAACCTTGAGCTGTTGTTATTGGCCTAAATGCGGCCCGGGTCAAGCCGCCAAGTAACGAATTTACAAGCTGATCAACCGATAGCGACAGAATACGAAAAACCTAATTCCATATAGCATAGCTAGCGGGTTACAATACGCGCCCTGCCCTTGGATTGAGCCTAGGTGATTTCGATAATGTACTTACCGGAGCAAGCACGTTCATTGAGTGGACAGTTAGATCGTGGCTGGCCACATCAAGTTTCAACAGGGGCCATGATTCCAGCGCTTATGCACCCCGATCACAATCACATAGAAAATTCAGATAGATGACGAGATGGCCATTGTGCAGCTGGGCTCTGATGTGCGCAAGGAATATAAATTGATGTGAGTTCATGGTCCCTAACCGCATTATTCAAACACGACCTACCTATGCCAACAGCCGTTTTTCCTCTAAGCTTATTTTCCATATTGGATTCTCAAGGACAGCGCAATTCTTGGTTCATCATGAATGCCAGCAATGTTACTTTCGACCCGTCGAATATGTATTCGAACAATCCCAGTGAGAAAACGAGTGTCATCAACTTGGTCATTAGCCAAGCACCTGCCGGGGCTACGAGTGCCACTGTCGTGTAAATTGCTCGCATCTCTCATCTCAGCCTATAGCTGCTGACGAGAGTTTTTAGGAACGGCTGGCACACCAGTAGAAGCGATAGACGCCGGCACTGTACCGTCGATTACTATGACGCCGCTGGCGACCGGCTCAGCAGAGAGCACATTGTCTGATTTTGCTGGGACAGGAGAGAGTCCATGGTGCCCGCAGTTTTAAATATTTTGGGGATGTGGTCTTGGTGAATAATCGATGTCTAGACTGGCCCAGCAGGACCAGGATTCAGATACGTACGTACACACAGAGAGCTGTAATCCCCCTTTTTTTTTTGGCTCACGGCAATATTGATAATTCAAAGCAATATTAGTATGATGACAGTCATATCAGCTTCTCGGAAGTACCGGATTTCTATGTGCATTGGTAACAAATGAGAATTGTAGTACAAGATAAAAGAAACCACGCGTACAAAAAAGTAGGTTGCCTACCGGGATAAGTTCACTATAGCGTCACCGCAGCCTTCTATTAAATGTGAACGAGTGTGATGAAGACTGCGCGTGACAAAGAGACCAGAACATGGGAGAATGAAAGAAGGATATCGCTAGATTTTTAGGACCTTCCCTTTATTTGATACGTTTGCACGATAATTCCATCAGTTCCTTTAAGAAATTACGGTACTATATCAATGACTCCTTATAGTTACCAGTGAATATAACAGGGAAAGAGCTAAATTTAGATTAGCATGTCTCCACTTAGGTTCCGGGAATCAAATCACAAGAGTGCGGAGTTAAAACTAATTTCAAAATTCAACCCTACTCTTCCCACTGTTTGCTATCCCCTGTATGAAATGACGTCCAAGGTAGCCTCCAGCCGTATCTTTGCGAGATGCCGCAATTATCTTGGTAGATCTTTGGTTTAGAAGAAATACGTGAGCAGTAGAGCACTAACAGGCCGAGACGCCCAGATGACAAGCGATACAGATGTTGGCAGGTGCGTCGGGGATTTGAAGCCCCACTCCAAAGTTAGGAACGTCAACATTGGCCAGGGGTACCTCTAGGTGTGATGTCCTCAACCGTATTCGTCTCTATAGTGGGTTCTTATTCCCCCAACTAGGAATAGCGAGATGCTCTCTCGATGTAACAGTGGCTTATAGACGGCGGTTCTCAGCCAGGCAGCCACGCTGTCCCAGTGAGGATTGATTTCATTGGCTTATCAGCTTGCTGTAGGAGCGGGTCTCTGTAGTGGCTTTTATTGGATGTCAGTATAGCAGCGCTCTGGGGACGCTAGAGTGACCCAACAGTGAGCTATCCTGGAGGGTCACCATGAAGACCACATTTCTTATTGAGTTTAAATAAACACCCTGAGGAACCTGAACCGTGGATGACCGCAAAGCAAGGGACCCCCCTCTCCTATATAACACAATGGGAATTCGTTTCTCCGCTTTCCTACTTTTGGGTGAAAAATCTTCTCGCCCAAGCTGTGTAACCCTACGGTCTCTCAGCATCGAAGTAAATTATTCGATCCCACCGTAAAGATGCGGCTCGAGTATCATAGGCAAGCCTTTCATATTACCACTATAAATTCTTATCTCTAACAATTGCGAAGGATCTTGCAATCTGGTATCATTCATATTTTCGTTAGGAAAGAGAAAAAGCAGTTCTCGATTCACAGAGCTTTAGAGGGCTCTTTCCCGGACAGCGCGCTTCAGCCATCTATGATTGAGGATGTTGACGAAGTTGTCTTTGCTTATTACTGTGAGTTTGTGTACTCTAGCGATTATTATATTCCATCTCCCACTTCAAACCTTCTAGGAAGTGATACTAGGCAACCTCGCACCGAAGAAGTATCTTCTTAGCCAAAATTGGGACGATAGGATCCTCGGAATCTGATCCGCAACATCTTCCATCCAATGACGCTTCCTCGTATCTATGGGTACCTACTAGAAAAGCTTAACCAGGCTCCACGAGCGGAAGCCGCTGAAAACTCGGCCACTAATCATCGATATAGCTATGCGAATGTGTTTATATGCCACGCTGAAATCAACCGTTTTGCTTACAATGCAGACTGGACCTCACTGCTTATTTTGTCATTACACCGGCTAATTCAATCTCTCGAACACTTCGAACTATCCAAAGACCGGACTAGGGAAATCATAGGGCTTTTACAATTTTGTTTCGAGGACAAGGGGCAAATAGAGGATATACAAACCGTGCTACGAGACTATGTCGTGTGGAATGTGGAAGTTATGATACAAGATACCGATTTCTCAAAGCTATTGGAAAGAGTTCCGTCTTTACAAAAGGCTGTTTTTCGTTCAATGTGGAATTAAAGGCTAGATCAAGAGCAATCAAAGCCGACACCTCAAATAACACGTCGAAATAAATTTCCTTACCAACCTATAAATTACACCACAACCCTTTATAAGAGTATCATTAAACGGCCTGATTGTGTTACGCTAGAGGCAGGGGAAGAGGAAGATGATACATTTATCTAGCCAGTCCGGCTTCCATAAGGGAAGCGGCGAGGAGGTGGTCACGTGGCTACCAACGTGACCCTACTCGACTAATATATCTACCCCCGTCAAAAGGTCGCTACCGTCCTCGGCTACGCGTTATATAAGGACTATAGAATAACATAAATAGCTTAATTATATATGACCGTAAGATAGTATATATAACGTTACTTAGGGAGACTATAAAGACTATAGTTATAGAGACCGTAATAATGATAACTCTAATTACCTAGTAGTTATACTACTAGGTTCTTACTTCCTAGTCGGAGATTAGCTTCTTTAATAGCTCCTTATTATCGTCGGTATTAGCTACTTTAAATACGTCTATCGCTACTTTAAAGCGTAAGGCGTCTCTAATTACGGTAGTATCTTCTACGGAGTTTATTTATCCGAGTATAGTCCCTAGATAGTTAGGTAGTAGGCGCTAGCGGCTACACTTAAAAAGCTTTTTCGCGTCCGCCTCCTTAAGGCTATACACTCTAATATTTTATAGTAGTGTTATTCCTAATTTATTATCTTCGTAGGCGCTTATAAGTCTCTCGATAGTTACGATTACTACGAGTGTCTTAGTTTTCGCTATATCTACCTACGTAAGCTCTTCTAGGATATATTTAATTATATTTAATAGAGTATATTCGCTATTTATCTTAGGATTTACGATCTATTAAATAGAGATTCTACCTATATCTATATTTTTAGTTAGTTTCTCGGGTATAGGGTTAAGTATATTCGCTATAACTTAAGTCTTCTATAGTAGTAGGTCTTCCGCTATACTCTAAGTTTTATATTTAGCGTCGCTTAATTATAATACTACTCTTAGTCCTTAGTTAAATACTATACTAATCCGGTTTACCGATTCTTTAGGAATCTATATTAGGCGCTATGTTAGGACCGGCGTGCTAGCGGGTCCTAGCGGGTCCTAGTAGGTAATATAGAACTAGAATGAAGGAATAGTAGGGTGCTAGTATATTTATAAACTAATCGCTAAAGAGCTAAGTTCCCCTAGTAGTCTCTATATAGATAACCTTTAGCGGGTCACGGGACTAGGTCACCTAACCCGGTAGGACTTAGTCTCCCTAGTGCGGTCTCTAGCGGGGGGTTATACTACCCCTACTAGGTCACGGGTTCTAGGTTATAGGACTAGGCGGGATCTAGCCTATAAGGCACTCTCCTAGTAGAGGGTCGTAATATTTTCCCCCTCCTTAAAGAGCTACGTCCTTATAGCTAAGGGTCGGGGGTCGAGGGTCTCTTATAGTCGAGATAGGGAGGGTTCGAAAATAGTATATATATCTAGCTATCTAAAAGAGGGTAATTTGTCTTTATAGTGGAAGGTATAGATAGACTCGGAGCTTTAAGCGTTATCTCTCTTCGTCGCGTATAATCTAAGTTCTTTATATAATTTTCACTTATCTCTCTTCGAGTTATAGCTTTCTTCTTTCTATACTTCCTCGTCCTTTCGCTTTTTCTTTTTATAGCTTTTCGTCGCTTCGCTTTTCTTACTATAGGTTATTTTAATTTATTATAGTAGCTCCCTTTTCTCCGATCGCGAGTATAATATATACCTTTATTAATAATTACGCCCCTCCGGCTATTATCTCCCCTACTAACTTTACGAGTACGTAGTATTAGCGTTATATAGACTATCTTAGATATAACTCGGGGTATATATATATCCCTCTGTCTAGCGGGATTAATATTAATACTCTTTAATATGTTGAGAACCATGCCTAAGGCAGGATTCTCTCGTCCGTAGGATTATTAACGCTACGCCTATTTTGTCTTTTCTGCCGAAAAGCCCACCTTTAGGGGCAAAATTGAGGACTCCGATCCTCGGTATATAAAGGGGCATAAATAGTAGGAAAAGGTAAATATTATCTAGATCTTTTAGATAATCTAATACTTCTATAAGAGATCCTATTCCTAGTATTATTTGAACCTATTATTAAACCCTATATACTATATTATACCTCTATATCTTTAATAGGTTATAAGCCCGGCTATCTCTAATAGCCGGAATACCTAAATTACGTAGTATAGTCTATTTACTATATTTGCTAGTAAATATTTACTTACCCCTATATACTTTTTTATCTAATCTTTGCCTAGACCTATATATATAGGTCCTTACCCTAGGATCTCTCTCTCCTTCTTATATATATCTTACCTCTTATTTTATACCTTACCTTTTATACCTATACCTCTCGATCTCTCGTAGATCTACCTATTTTCTTATTAATTTCACTATAACCCCTATTACCCGACGGTCTTAGCGAGATAGGGGGGTATCTAGTACACCTAGCGTACCCTATATACCCTACGAACCCTCCGACTCCGACGCCGACCGATTAGATGAATTAGGGTCCGATAATAACTATAGTAGCGCCTTAGGCGAGGGTAGCGATAACGAAGGAGGAAATAATAGTCCTATAGCTCCCGCTAGTACTAGTAATATAGACCCCGGCTAGGGTCTATAACGTCTAAACCCCGCGGATTAACTAACTAGAGAACTCGAGTCGACCGAGTATCTCTATACCTAGTAGCCCTAAGGATTAACTAGGTAGTTTATAGCGGGTAGACCCCCCGCTAATATCTCCGAGTCTATCGAGACTAATATATAAGTCCTATTAATATAGATTAATAACCTAAACCGATTTAATCGAGATAGCTCTACGTTCTCGCTACGTAACCGCTACGCTACCCTAAAGAATAATACCCGAGAAGAGAAAGAAAACGCCCTTTAATACCTTAATTTTACTAAGGACCTCGGAAAAATATTTAAAAGAAAAGAAGAATATAAAGGACTAAAACTTA